AATTCCACAAAACTAACACCACAAATATATATCTATATCTATATCTATTTATCTATATATATCTATATCTATATCTATCTATCTATATATATATAGATAGATATAGATATAGATATAGATATAGATATAGATATCTATCTATCTATCTATCTCCTATCTGTCCATGGACTGTGGCCCTGTGCATGGCCACAAACCACTCTGACTGACTAGGCTGACTAATCTTGCAATAAATCTGAATTTGGACACATGTTCTGAAAAGGTTACGCTTTGGAAGATGCCTTGCAGGTGAAGAAGGGACAGCCAGGACAGAACGGGTCGCCTGGGAGGAAGGAAGCAGGTGGGTGGGGGCAGGGGAGAGGCTGCCGGCAGGACAGGTGGGCGAAACGACCACAGCACATCAGGGAAAACCCGCATTACCGAAGAGTCTGTGACAGCTGACACTATAAGAGGGCAGCCAGGAGACAGCACGGAGGAGATTCTTCAAGTGCCAGAATGACAGAGCATTAATCACGAAGAAGCTGCTGAAGACTCACCTACTTCAAAGAGCATTCATGGGTCGTGTTTCCGCACTTAAAAGTGCTTGCGCTTGCTCCGGCCACTAAGTAAGCTCAAGACAGTTAATCCTGATGAATACACAGATATGACTGACAGAGCAATAAAAACACTGAATAGCAAACACAACTCTGGGCTAGACACTGTTCTTGTCACTTTGCATATCCGAATCCAACGTCCTCAGAAAGCAACTACGGCCATACCCCTCATCCACAGGCTTGCCTTCTGTGGTTTCAGTTACCCACGGTCAACCCCGGCCCCAAAATATTAAATAGAAAATTCCTGAACTAAATAGTTCATTTCAAACTGCATGCCATTCTGAGTAGCATGATTCCGCTCCGTTCTGCCCACGAAGTGACTCCTCCCCTTGTCCAGTGCCTCCCCACTGTGGCTGCTCCTGCCCGTGAGTCACTTAGCCATCTCCATTATCAGACCAGCTGTTGTGGCTTCGCAGTGCGTGTGCTCAAGTCACTCTATTTTACCTAACAACTAGAGGCCCGATGCATGAAAGTCGTGCAAGAGTAGGCCTTCGCAGCCGCAGCAGCTGCCTTGATCCCTCCCTCGCAGCTGCAGGCGGTGGTCTGGATCCCTCCCTCGCAGCCACGTAGCCTGCCTGGTTCCCGCAGCTGCAGCCCTGGCTTCGTCCGGAAGGACGTCGGTCTAATTAGCACATTACGCTTCTATTATTATAGATTACCCCAAAGCGTAGTGAAGCGGGCAATTTGTATATGCCAAAGAGAAGCCATAAAGTGCTTCCTTTAAGTGAAAAAGTACGTACATATAGGCAAAAACATAGCATATATGGGGGTTAGGACTATCCATAGTTTTGGGCATCCACCGGGGGTCTTGGAACCTACCCCCTGTGGATAATGAGGGACTAAGGTATAAACTTTCACTGTCTGTATTCATTGAGATACCAAGACACTGCTGAGCCCCTACTATACGCCAGCCACATCAGACACTGGGAAGAGAGATGAATTAGAGACGTAGAGAAGGGATTTGGGGCACAGCTTCAAAGAGACAGTGAGCTTTGGGTTGAGCCAATGAGGCAGTGGCAAGATTGGCAGGGTGGAGAAGGGAGCAGAGAAGAGCTTACCCTCAAAAGATGTAACACTGAAGGCACAGAGACACGAGGGACGCACCAAGACCGTGAGGGACACACAGAGCAGACTACACCTGTGGGCCAAATCCAGCCCTTTTTTGTAAAGTTTTATGGAACACAGCCCTGCCCACTGGACTGATTTGATTTCCGGCTGCCTCCTGCCTTGCTGTGGGGCACAGGCAAGCTGAGTAGTCATGACAGAGCCGGAGGCCAGCTAGCTGGCTCTTTACAGAAGTTTGGGGATGCCTGTTCTAGAGCCTTGTTATTCGGAGGTGCGGGGGTGGGGTCGGGGAGGAGGGGTTCTGTGAAGCAGCAGCACCTGGGGGGTTTGGCAAAGATGCAGACACTCAGGTCCCATCGCAGACCCACAGAACTAGAATCTGCCTCCTAAAAAGATCTCTGGCAAAACATTAAAAAAAAAATGTTTTTATTGATTTCAGAGACAGGAAGGGAGAAGGGGATAGAGAAATATCAATGATGAGAACCACTGATTGGCTGCCTCCTTGCATGCCCCCTACTGGGGATGGAGCCTGCAACCTAGGCACGTGCCCTGAATGGGAATCGAACCGTGACCTCCTGGTTCGTGGGCTGATGCTCACACCAGCCAGGCTCTGGCGATTCTTATGCTCAGAAAGCTCTCCTGTCACTGGCGTGTGGCCGGGAGGAGGTGGTGAGGCTGCAGATGCAGAAAGGCATGCACTTCTCCTATAAACAGTCAGACAAGCGCGGTAAAGGTTTCCCCACAAAGGAGTGGTGCCATCAGTCCACGCTCCAGGAAGGTCCCTGGGTCACAGTGTGACGGTCAGAGGAGTTGACGTCTGAAAGCAGGTGGGCAGCGGGTGTCAGAGCCCAGGCAAAGACCCACACTGTGCAGGGGACACTGCCAGGCAGCTCCTTTTCTTCCCAGCAGCAAATGGCATTCTAAGAGATTACTCCAGTTTCACTAGTGCCTCCGATTTGCTTCTAGCAAATACAGCACCAGTTATAATTCACGAGGAAACAAAAAAATACTTAGTAACAAAATATTAGTACTCATGTGTTTCTGTGTACACAAAATGTATCTCCATCTAAGTAATGCTTCCGGACCGTAATACATAAATTATGAGATTAACTGGATGAGAAGGAAGCTTAAAGATTAAATGAGAATCAACTTGACAGCTATCTCTTATGTAGACTGCTAACACATCAGTTCCCAGGATATTTAGAGGTGTAATGTCTTGTTAGGACTCCCCCTTCCCCCCCAATAAATGCACAATTCTGCTTGATATTCAGTTTTTCCACATTTTGGATGAGTAAGCAATCTAAAGTAAAAAACAAAATACAAAGAAAACCAAAGCAGCATTTTAGACAAAACGCCAACACCACTCCTCCTAGCTCGGCTAACAGCTTCTGAGTGATTGCTTAACATTCTTCCTCCTTAAAAATCTAGAAAAGTTTGACAGGGTTATTTGTGGGATTCAGTATGCTTTAGCATAATGAGAGCAATATAGATAAAAATAGATTAGTGAAAATGGGAAATTCCTTTTCTTAGATGCTTAGGTTTCATAGTTTACATGCATTCCATTGACAGAAACAATGCAAAAGAAATAAGGCTTGTATATCTGCTCTGAGAAAAGAAGCATAATTAAATCAATATATCTCAAGTAAGAAAAGAACCCATCAAATTCATGTTGAGAAGAATCTCTATGTTAAGATTCATTGACAAAGCCTTAGGAAAGTCCACAAATTCAGTATAATGGTTAATGGTATTTAAGAGATAATAGTTAATAACATTTCCTCTGGGTTTACACTGCATTAAATATCATCACATGGACTATTTCATTTAATCCTCAAAATACCCTGATATTAGCTCCATCTTATAAATGGGCAAAGTAAGGCACAGAGAGGTTAAGTTACTTGTCCAAAGTCACACAGCTAAATAAGAAGTGGAGCTAAGATTTGAAAGTGGGCCTGTGTGTTTGAACATAACTGTGGTACCTCTCTAACTGCATCTGCTGTCCACTCTCCTCTTGTCCCCAGGTGAATCTGCAAGAAGTTTAAATGCAGGGGTCTCTCATTGTTACTAATATCAGAGACAAAGAAAACCCGTAGGATTTAGGCATTCGAAGTCTTAATGGAAAAGGGGACACACCATATTGCCCTGTGGACAGTGGCCAAAATTTGACCTGTGATATAATAAAACCAAGGAAAAATGAGGTGGATTCCTCAGCAAGATAAAATGCAAATTAAGTCCCAGTAAAAGTCTGAAATCAAGTAAGCGCTTGTTAATAAGTATGGATGCAGGCTTTCAAGGATAATTACTGTGAATGCATTATTTTCTAGCTAAGATGCTCGTGAAATGCTATGGAGAATCTAAAACATAAAATACCCGTGGGCACTGGCCTAATGCTACCAGGTTAACATTCCCAGCTGGTTGTTCCTGTATGTCATTTAAGTAAGTGCCCGACTGTCAATGACAGAAGAACTGAAGCAAGGCTGGCACCGGGCACAGCACCCACATGGCACATTCTTTGTCCCAGGAGCTTCATTCTATCAAGACTCTTGGGAGAAAGAGAAGTCACTGAATAAATAATGCAAGTCCGCAAGGCAGTGTGCAGGTCTTTCCAATTTTTCAAACTGTCAAGCATCTTATACAAAGTTCTTTTTCCACTTTAAGCTCATCATCTTCCATTTAAAATACTAATTTTGCCCAAAATCAAGCCCTGTATTTCCCTTCAAATTTGAACAGTTAAAAAAAAAAAAAAAGACCCAGGTTTTAAACATTAATTTGGCCAAAGGACAAACTCATTCCCTTCACATTTTAACAGCTGCAAAATAAGATCCAGGGAAGCAAGACAAAAACAGGGCAGGGGGAAAAGCCAAGTGAGAGACGAGGCGACAGCAATGATGGAGTGACAGTCACCTGAACTCCCATTCACTCGGCCGCTTCAGGGTTTCCCACCGAACTTTCCCCATTTACAAGGCGACACGCCTGGCGGCGGTCTTCTCACAAACACAAATGAGGGGGCAGTTTGCGTTCTCTACAGGGTGGACCCTGAGCACAACTCGGGGATACCCAGCGCGGACGCGGCGCGACGAGCAATGACTACTGCATGACACCTGGCTCCCACGCGGGTTCAGGCTGCTGAGGACAAAAGGAGCGACCATCCTCGGACCCTCGGCTTCGCCTGCGGAGGCACCGCGAGCCGCTGCGGACGCTCCGCTGGCCCCGCGCCTCGGATGCCGGCGGCCGGGCGGCCGGGCGGCCGGGCCGGGCGCGCGGCGGGGCGCGCGGCCTCCGGGCGTGGGGACCCGGCGGCCGGCCCCGGGCGCAGGGGCGGAGCGCGGTGCAGCGTGGGGCACTCACCTTCTTCTTCCAACTCGAATTTCTCCAGCATGCCGGCTTCCACGGGTCCCGGGGCCGCCAGCGCCGCCTGAGGAGGGAGGACAGGGGTCAGCACGCGCTCGGCGGGCTCGTCCCCGCGCGGGGCGGGGGCGCGGGGCCGGGAGCGCAGCGCGGGGGGCGGGGAGGGGCTGGGCTCCGCGGCCCCGCCGGGCGCCGCGGCCTCGCTGGGCGCCGCCGCCGGGAGGAGGGGCCTCCGCGCGGCCGGAACGGAACGGAACGCGGCCCGGCCCCCGCCCAACCCCCGCCCGGCCCCCGGCCGCCCCGCCCCGGCCGCGCCTTCCCGCGCCCCCGCCCCGAGTGGGCCGCTCCGCCCTCACCCCGCCGGCGGCTTTGGTACGGACCGGCGGGGGAGACGCGTGGGAAGGGGACCCCGGGGCGCGGGCGGGCGGCCCCCCTCTCCGGCCTGGTTCCCCGTCTCCGCCGGGCCGTGAGCGGCCATTAGCGGGGAAGGCCCGCGTTCTCATCGCCGCCTCGCCTTCCCACCGCTCAGCTCCCCGCACCCACGGCCGGCGCGTCCCCGCGGGTCTAACCTGCGCAGGTGTGGTCGGGGCAGCCGGGGGTGGGGCGCGAGGGGCGCGCCGAGGGGTGGGGGTGGGGCGCGGGGGTGGGGCACAGGGGCGGGGCGGGGGCCAGCGGAGATGACACCGTGGGCCAGGTTGATTACATTTCTGTTTTAAATTTTAGGTTTAACTGCCCCTCCCATATTAAAAAGAATTGTTTCTCGGGTTTTGCCTACTGCGCTTGCATTTCGTGGCTGTCACTCTCCCAGCCACGGAAGTCTTATCTCGCTTCCTCTCTTCACCCACGATCGATTCCCTTCTTTGGGCGAGCCGCTGCCAGGAGCGCACCAAATCTAAACCGGCCCTGGCCACCCTGTCGCCCTGGATCTGGTATCTGAGACTCTCCTGTTGCCAACTCAGGTTGGCAGGCAGCATGGCTGGCAGCGCAGAGCTGCGCGGGAGAGCAGCGCGGCCCGGGAGGTACAGGCACCGCAGTTGGTGTGACAGCAGTGTCTGCACCATCTCCAGGGGGCCCACGGCTCACTCCCAAGGCCAGGGCCCTGATAACGAGCCTCGCTCTCCAGCGCTGGTTAGAGCCCAAAAGGGGCCCCAACCTCTGGAAAGGAGCTTGGTTCTATCAGGCCTGCAAGCCTCGCCTGGAGGAGAGGTACTGACGCCTCCTTGGCGCTTTCTTTTTGCTCTGTCATCCCAGCTGGGCCAACCCCCAAGTCTTAAGCTTCTTAAAAGGAGGGAGGTGGGAGGTAGGGGAGGAAAAAAAGACAAATTACACTTTGTAAGAGGATTGGGGGTAAACACCTACAGCCATGTCATGGGTAAAGACACAGCAGAGGACTGAATGTGTTCCCCCAAGAGCAGGAACAAAGCAAGGATGTCTGCTTCCACACTGTCCTGACTCTACACAGGACTGGAAGTTCCGGCTGCTGCAATTCGGCAAGAAAACTCACCGAAAGGCATACACGTTACAAAGAAAGACACAAAACCATCCGCGTTTGCAGAAGACCTGGTTGTCTGCCTAGAAAATCCCAAGGAGTCTAAACACGAATGAACACACAAACAAAAACCTCCCAAACTAGAACCAGTGAGTTCAGCAAGGTCATAGATACAAGATCAACAGGCAAAAATCACTCTCATTTCCATACACTAACAGTGAACATGTAGAAACATATTAAAAACAATACTATTTATTATCACTGCCAAAGAAATTAAATACTTAGGTATACACTTAAGAAAATGTACAAGATCTGTATGCTAAAAATTATAAAATGTGGATGAAATAGAAGGAAACCTAAATAAATGAAGAGGCATCCCATATTTATGTACTGGAAGACCCAACATAGTAAGGATGTCAGTTCTCCCCCAAACTGACATAGAGGTTTAATGCAATTCCTGTTAAGACATCGGTAAGTTTTTTTGAAGACAAGCTTAGTTTAAAATTGATAAGGAAGCCCAGCCAGGGTGGCTCAGTGGTTGAGCGCTGACCTATGAACCAGGAAGTCATGGTTCAATTCCTGGTCAGGGCACAAGCCCAGGTTGGGGCTGTTGCGAGCTTGACCCCCTGGGTGGGGAGCATGCAGGAGGCAGCGGATCATTCTCTCTCTCTCATCATTGATGTTTTTATCTCTCTCTCCCTCTCCGTCTCTGAAATCAATAAAAATATATTAAAACATAAGGAAAGGCACAGGCTCTAGAATAGCTAAAGCAACCTTGAAAAAGAAGAATGAAGTGGGAGGAATCATTCTACTCCATATTAAAAGCTTACTCCAGAGCTACAGTAATTAAGACTGTGTATTGCATATGATTTCACTTATATGACGAATCTAAAGAAAATAACTGAACAAACAAAACAAACAGACTCAGATACAGAAGAACAGACTGATGGTTGCCAGAGGGCATGGGGGTTGGGGGACTGGGTAAAAAAGGTGAAGGGATTAAGAAGTGCAGATTGGTAGTTACAAAATAGTCATGGGGCTGTAAAGGGCAGCATAGGGAAGATAGCCAATAATACCGTAATAACTATGCATGGTGCCAGGTGGGTCCTGGAAATATCAGGGGACTATTTGTAAAGGCTGTGATTATCTAACCATAACTTGAAATGAATACAGAATAGTATTGAATGTCAACTATAATTGAAAGATAACATTTAAAAAGAGACTGTAGTATTGGTGGCAGAGGGACAGACATGTAATCAATAGAAACAGGATCTGACCCACATAAATGTGTCAAACTGGTGTTAGATGAAGGTGCAAAAGCAGTGGTGCTCGAGCAACTGGACCTGAAAATGGAGAGGCAAAAATTAAACCTCTTTGTAAGCCTCACACACCACACAAATGAGCTCAAGTCAGATCACAGTCTTAAAAATAAAATGTAAACCATGAAACTTACAGAAACAAAGCGGACAACCTCTTTAGGACCTATTGCGGGGAAAGCGGGAGACCTGATCTCTAAAGCATGAGCCACAGCCCGAGCCGGTTTGGCTCAGTGGATAGAGTGTCGGCCTGCGGGCTGAAGGGTCCCAGGTTCGATTCCGGTCAAGGGCACGTACCTGGGTTGTAGGCTCAGTCAGGGCACGTGTGGAAGGCAACCAACTGATGTGTCTCACAGCAATGTTTCTGTGTGTGTCTTGCTCTCCCTTTCACTCTCTCCAAAAATCCATGGAAAAGTACCCTCGAAAAGTATCCTCCGGTGAGGATTAACAATAAAAAACCATGATCCACAAAAGGAAAAATTAATAAACTGGACCTCCTTAACATTAAAATGTTTGCTCTATGACAGACACTGTTAAGAGGATGAAAAGGTAAGTTACAGAGTAAAAAAAAAAAAAAAACACCACAAAAAAACTTGCAAACCACACAGTAAATTACTAGTATCTGGAATCTGTAAAGAACTCTCAAAAAGAAAATCCAGTGAGAACATGGGCAAAAATATATGAAGAAACATTTCAGTGATGGCAAATAAGCATCTGTAAAGATGCTCAACATCACTAGCCAGTAGGGAAATGCAAATTAAAATCACACTTAAGTGATCACTGTACACCCATGAGAATGGCCAAAATAAAAATAGCAAATGCTGGTGAGGATGCAGAAAAACGATCACTCCTCCCTTGCTGAGGGGATGCAAAGTCGTACCACCAGCCTGGAAAGCACTCTGACAGTTTCTTATAGAACTAAACGTGTAACTGCCACAAGACACAACAATGCATTCCTGGGCATTTATCCCAGATAAATGAAAAGTATGTTTACTTGAAAACCTTGTATATGAATGTTCACAGCAGCTTCATTTGTAATAGCTCAACCTGGAAATAACAGATGTCATTCAACGGGTGAACGATGAACCAAACCACAGCCATGCTCCACTTAACAATGGGGATATGTTCCGAGAAATGTGTTGTTAGGCGATTTCGTCGTTGTGCGAACATCATAATATGCACTTACACCAACCTAGATGGTCTACACCAGTGATGGCGAAGCTTTTGAGCTCGGCGTGTCAGCATTTTGAAAAACCCTAACTTAACTCTGGTGCCGTGTCACATATAGAAATTTTTTGATATTTGCAACCATAGTAAAACAAAGACTTATATTTTTGATATTTATTTTATATATTTAAATGCCATTTAACAAAGAAAAATCAACCAAAAAAATGAGTTCACGCGTCACCTCTGACACGCGTGTCATAGGTTCGCCATCACTGGTCTACACATACCTAGGCTGTATGGTACAGCCTGTTGCTCCTGGGCTCTCAGCCTGTACAATAGGTTACTGGACTGAATACTGTAAGCACTTGTGTATCTAAACATAGAAAAGGTACAGTAAAAATATGGTATAAAGATAAAAAATGGTACAACTGTTTAGGACACTTACCATGACTGGAGCTTCCATTTGTATATTTCTGGAAGCTGTTCTGGGTGTCAGGGAGTGAGTGGCGAGTGACTGAAGGCCTAGGCCCTAGGACATTACATTACTGCGCGCTACTATAGAATTTATAAACACTGTTCCCTTAGGCTAAATTACATTTATAAAATAATATTTTATCTTTCTTCAATAATAAATGAACCTTAGTTTACTGTAAGTTTTTTAAAATATATTTTATTGATTTTCCACAGAGAGGAAGGGAGAGGGATAGAGAGTTAGAAACATTGATGAGAGAGAAACATTGATCAGCTGCCTCCTGCACACGCCCCACTGGGAATGTGCCCGAAACCATGGTACATGCCCTCGACCGGAATCGAACCTGGGACCTTTCAGTCCGCAGGCCAATGCTCTATCCACTGAGCCAAATCAGTCAGGACTGTAAGTTTTTACTTAATAAAAATTTTTAAGACGTTTTGACCTTGTAATAACACTTAGCTTAGAACACAAACATAGTGTACAGCTTTACAAAAATATTCTTTGTTTATATTCTTACTCTATGTTTTTTTTCCATTTAAATTTTTTTTTAACTTTTTAAACTTCTTTGTTGTTTAATTTTTTAAAAAGTATGGTGGTGCACAGTGGTAGTGTCAATCATTTAA